TTTATCAATAATGTAGGAAGTTTCAGTGGCAAGACACATTTTTCTCCTAGATTGGATATTTTTACTCTCATTTCATTCTATTCAACTCAGATCTGACTGAGTATTCTAGAGTGAACCCTGAGAATGGCAATTTCAGAGAATTTCCCATTTGATGCCCTTAGCGCTGGTCTCTGAAGAGCAATTTCTTGTCTCAATGTAAACTACATCTTAATCTCAATGGCCCTGTAAAATTTTGTTCAGACCCAAGAAAAAATAAAATCATGTATAGTCAAAATTGAAAAAAACAAAGAAATATAATCTTACAAAAACAACATGAATGACACTTTTCGATAAAGAATAACCTTTACAATGGCACCCAAATTACTAGTGGGTATAAGTTCCCATCTGAATTGCTTAGAAAAATCAGAAAAGTAAAGTCAATTTTACTTCTATTTTCATTTTCAGTGAACACTGTTTTGTCCCTCTCTTGTTCATGAACAACCCCCAGAGCACATCCTTCAAAGTCAGAATCTCAGGCTATTCTGGGCTGTGATTCATTGGGATAACTGCTGACTCCTTTACCATTTCCTAATGAGTGCATAATCCTCCTCCTGGAGAATTCTAGCTTTACAACAAGAGGCACTGTGCAATAGAAAATGTCTTTCAGCTTAAAACCAGGGAACCTGATATCAGTTCAGTCAATTAACAGTGTGACCTCAGGCAAGTGACTTTACATCCCTGGGGCTTTTCCTTTGCTAATATAATTAGAGGATTGTTCACTAGTGGATGAGAACTCATTTAGCATTGTGTAAAGGCAGATGAAATTTTGTGTTCACAAGCTTTTAACCTCATCTAAAAACATAGTTCTGGTTTCTCCAAGGACTGAAAAGAGTCTGTCCTCCGCAATCTGCAATGTTTCTTAGCAGAGGAATGCCACTACCTTCCAGAGATGACATAATGGAAGCCATAGCCCACTGTGTCCCACATAGATGTCAAATTCCATGCTACTATGACTTAATACCTAGTACTACTGGGCACTATGACTTAATAAAGAAGTCACTAAAGAGATAGAATTTGGGACTGTTTTTCATTAATACCCTTTAAATGGTGCACATTTTGAAGCATTAGCTAAAATCTAAGTAGTATTGTGGAATTAAAATACACTAACAAAGGAGTCACTAATTTTGTTGGTTTCTTTGGTTCTAGTTGATTCCAAGGCTTTCCATCCATTGTTTTCCCAAGTCTTATTACACACAGCATGGTTACTATCCAAAATAACATTTATTCAATGAAGTGCAGTAGATAAGTAATTCTTAACCTTCAGTGTACTCTAAAACCACCTAGTGAATTCACTCAGCTGGAATCTGACTGTGTAGGTTTGGAATGAGACTTGAATTTGAAGTTTTTAATAAGTTCTTATGTAAAGCTTTTGCTGCTGGCGACAGGAAGTCACAACTTAGTTCTTGCTCTCCTTGGATGTGTTTTGGGATCACTTAGGGAAGTTTAAGACAATCTTAGAGCTTGCATCTCACCTTCAGCAATACAGATTGAATTATAGAATTTGTTAAAACTACTCAAGTGACTGTAATAGGCATGTGAGTTTTGAACCACTATTACTAAGATAATAACAAGAATCAAATTAGAAAGGTGATCACTAAGTTAAGGTTGATAATAAGAGGACAGTGGTACCGAGAACTCTTAACCATGATGATTTCATAGTTGAGTCCTCACATTTTCTCCCCAGATCCTACCTGCTAATGGTGGTTATTGCAATTCATAGCTAATGGTGGTTATTGCAATTCATAGATAATGGTGGTTATTGCAATTCATAGATAATGGTGGTTATTGCAATTCATAGATAATGGTGGTTATTGCAATTCATAGATAAGGCAATGTCAGGAGATGACGCGAAACTGCTAGCACACACACAAGCCCAATTTTCTTCCCTCGTCTATACAGAAAAAGATCACAGTGTGGCAGAGTAACCCCAAACCTCCACACTGCCCACCACCATCCTCCGAGTTGCTCGAGAATTCACTTGTTCACCTGTGGACGTCGCAGCCTCACTCCCATCTTCAGTTACCTCAAAGAAAACTTTCTGCATTACTCTGGAGACATACACTTCAGATGAATCTGATGAAAGTATGACAGGTAAAAATCAAAGCCATTACCATTAGGTCGTCAAATAACTACTTTTCCAAATACACAGAAACAGTGACGAAACAGATGAGCTCTCTCCAATTTAGCCAGTTTTTCTGGAGATAAGGGTACTTAGGTTTCACTATGAAATTCATGTAAAGATGGACAGATAGAACAGGAAAGATGAGCTCACCCAGACATAAAAGATGAAGGCAGAAAGTGTAACCCTGGAATCACATACCCCACTTTGAGGGAAATTTGAATGGATAGAAAAGGGTTTCCCACTTCACCGCAATCTACAGAAAAAAAATGAAAGAACAGCCTCAAAGCAAACTTGTCTTTTAAATTACAGATTCAGTTCTGATCTGACGTTAAAACAAAATTCATTTTCCTTCAAGACTGGTTAGGTCAGAGAAGTCTAAAGTGCCTTTGTGCCATCTGTCTGAAAAATCGCTGCAGAGCTGAGTTTTTTTAAAAACTCGGATAAATGTTTTCATGTAAGACAATGTCTTGCAACATTTGCTATGTTGTGAGGATTCTCCTCTTCATCCACTGGTGGAACCTATGTGAAATGCTTCTAGCACAGTGGTTTGAAAGGATAACCTTTATAAGTGAAGTCATGAGGTAGACATCCTATCAACTCAGCTTTGCAGGACCAGATACATCTAGCTTCTTCAGAGTCAGTAGAGGCATGCCCTAAAAAATACATGGTGCATAGGTGGTTTGCCACATACACCACTTAAATAAGACAATTGATGGGCATGAATGTGCCCAGAGACAGAAGACTGTAATATGGAGAAAGGGGGAAGACAAAGTTTCAGTGTGGATTTTCCAAAACACAAGACAGGGTGAGTCACCTGAACAAATGCTCCGATAGTTCCCTAAATAAGACAGGATACATAAATAGAGCACACAGTTACTGACCTAATAGCCAGCACAATTTGGGGAGAAGTGAAAAGTTTTACCTAGATTAGCAATGGAACTAGACCAAATGGATCCTAGACCATTAGGCTAAGCTGCTTGGTCTTAAAAGTATAGCCCCTGCAGTGAGGTGTGCCACTTAGGAAAAGAATCTGAGACACACTAGCTTAGACAATGAGCATAAATTCTGTAGACTCATTGTTATCTATGTCTTTGTGGCAATCATTTCCTTTAAATACCCATGGAAAGATAAGTTCATAATTGCCAGATGAGGAGGGAAGACGGTATCAGACCCTCTGCAACTAGAGTTACAGGTGGATGCGAGCCACCATGTTGGATCCTGGCAAATGAGATCCCTAGAAAAAACAGCTAGTGCTCTTAAGTCGTCTCTGTAGGCCCAGTTTTTTTTAATAATTTATTTTTTATTTTATGTGCATTGGTATTTTGCCTGCATGAATATCTGTGTGAGGATATTGGACTCCCTAGTGCTTGACTTACAGGCCTTTGTAACAACAATATCTCTTGCTTTTCTAGATGGTCAAGTAAACTTGAATATCATTTGTGTGTGTGTGTGTGTGTGTGTGTGTGTGTGTGTGTGTGTGTGTGTGTGTGTGTAGGCACTGGCGAGGAGAGGCCAGAAGAAGTTGTCAGTTCCCCTAAAGCTGGAGTTACAGACACTTGTGAGTTGTCTGATGTGGGTGCTGGGAGCCATGCAGATGCAGCAAACAGGCTTAACTACTAAGCCATCTCTCCATGTGCTAGATGAATAGGTGGTCTACATACATTTTTCTATTTCCCATAGTCATTAAGACATATGATCTCACTTAGATTAGAAAAGGAGAGAATTCTAAAAGTTGTCCTTATTTAACATGACTTTAGAACTAATAACTTGATAAGAAATCAAATCTGAATCCCAAAGTTTCAAAGGTATAAAACTATTATGTTAAAAATTATTGGACCATGTGAGTATAAAATATCTATTTCTTATATAAATTGTTCCATAGCACTAATATTAGACTAGTTCACATTATTTTTTGGTAAAATTTGATTGAACAAAAATAAGAAAACATAGCAAGTGTTATGGCCTGGATAAGCATTCTTCCAAAAGGCTTGTGTGTCGGATGCTCAGCTCTCAGCTACACAGGAAGTAGATGATACTGGAAGAAGTTGGTCATTGCGTTTTTAGGGGATTCTATCCCCAATCCTGCCTTTATCCCTCTCTCTGTTTCTTGTCTTCAGTGTGATAAATGAGCTCATCTACTAAGTGTTCCTACAGCCGTTTGTCTGGCCCAAGCCTAGAGGACCAAACCAAAATGGGCTGCATCCCCTGATCCAGATATCCTCTTTTGGTTGTTTATAGCAGACATTTGGTCACAGCTCTGAAAAGTAGCAAATACAGCATTGAATTGTTTATGCTGATAACTACCGGCTTCAGTGTTCAGCCAATGAGGCAGGATCAAAACATTAAAATAATTCAAATAGCTAACCCCAGGGTTGGGGGACAGAAAATATTAGACATTCATCCTCTGCTTGGAGTTATTCTTTTGCGCAAATTATTTTACGAAGCATTTTGGGGGTGTTTTCATAAATTATCTCGTAGAAGGGTTTTGGGAGTTACAAATTGCTGGCGTTTGAACAGTGAGTGACTGTTTAAATGTATAAGATATATAAAATGAGATTTCTAGGCCCAGGAAGAAGTTAAAGGGGAAAAAGTGTTTGAAAAGAGCTCGGTTATTATGGGTTGTAGAGGTGGTTATGGTTCAGGGCACACTAAAATAGCATCTTATTGGAATGTGTAATGTTGACTACTGCTGATGTTACTGTAGAGATTTGCAAGAAGTCAGATCCAGTTGTCTCTGTGGAAGCAGTTGTCTCTGTGGAAGCAGTTGGCTGCACCATGTGACGATGAGAGAGAACTTGTCTGACACCTATGCACGCGCTCCACTGCCTTCGCTCAGAGACGTTATCCACCCCACCCGTGCACCTGACTAATGGGTGAATGAACAGATGGGCAAATACTTCCTCGAGTCTAGATATTTACATAAAAATCAAAAGAGTTTTTCTACTGTATGTTTTATGGTGATATAAAGCAGGCCAGTGAGCTTCTATCATCAGAACCCATGAGATTTTTTTTTAAGCGTAAGTGGTGTCTATGGCAATTTTTACTTGTTCAGTAATTCTTCAGTTCATAAATTTTATGAAGGACTGAAGAACTAAAAGAATGTCTGGCATAGCTGTGGAGGTAAGGAACCCAACGAGACCTAATACCCTAGATGTACATGGAAACTCATCTCCATTGGTTGTCAGCCTAAAGGCCTCTGCAGGTAGCTTTGTCCATTGTAACCTTCCTGACTCCTGACCATGGACTTCGTATGCCTTCATTCTACCAAATTACACTTGAAAAGCAGTTGACCGTCTGAGTTTTATTTGTCTTGCTTAGATGACAGAAACGAAGTTGTAATAGAATAAAAGCCCATCTAATGCTTCTACTTACATAGTTTGATCATAAGTGTGGTAAGAATGTTTATCTAACGTTATGAAATGCTTTCTGAATTTCATTGTGGAAGACTTCTTACCTGGGAGATACAGTGAATATTAATAGGAGGCTTACCAAAGATATGGCATTTATTCACTATGTATATGCTTGCTGAGACTGAAGGCTCTCTCATTTTAAGCTCAGTCTGCTAATATAATTCCAAGAAAAAGAATCAACATGACAATATGAAAATTACCCATCAACAGCATACCTGTTATTCCAGAAAGGTCGCAGCCACCATTGAATATCTCAGTTATATTTAAGGAATACAATGCATCCTTGAAGTCTAATTTTTGTTCTGTTTTAAATCTGTTTTAAAAAGATGAAGAAAAATAACTTAACACATGGTGAGCATCTTCTAGGAATTTTTTTTATGACGTGGGTGATTTGGCAGAGATTATATTGCAAATCTTTGGCTTTCACCAACCCAGTTTCATTTTCTTGTACACACATCATTTTAATACAGTTCCATTAGCTGGTTCCACATAACTAATAATTTGCCTCTTGATATATTGTTGGTGGAGATGATGAATAGAATGATTTTAAAGTGAAACTCACCCCCCCCGCCACCAAGAAAAATCAGTTTTTCTTCGTTTCTGTCTTTAACATCTTTGATAGAAGTGTGAAGCTTCCTTCTAGCAATTTTCTTTACTCAAGATTTTCTGACAAAGACGGGAGCTGGCACATGCTCACAACACTATGAGCAGGAGACAGCAGTCAACAATCATGGAGGAAGCCTGTTGGCTCCTGATGTTCGAGATGTATCTATACCTCATCATCCTTCCTAGTTATTCTCACATATGCTGTGACTCTCTTTATTTTACGGGCATTTCTAATGTCTAAAAGTGGAACCTTCATGTGGATAAACATGGAAGGGAACAGTGTGAAATGGATAAAATCTATCAGGTCAGGGGAGGCAGCTGAACAGTGCTTTTGATACCAGACCAGAAATGAAGACACCAGCTTCCAGATTAACTGAGTTCCTCATTCATGAAGAAGGCAATAATCAGAGGATCTCAAAGATTCTCTAGAGTATAGATCTTCCATGGTCCCAAGGCAGCTGCCGGCACTGAATCTCACAGTATCATTTAAATGGGGGGTGGCACTAGAAGATTTTTATTTCATAGTTTCTTAGAGAATCTTTTATTTTTAAGAGATCAAAAACTTTTTTGAAAGGGGGAAAAATGTGGCACCCTGGGAAGTGCATGTTTCCTATATCGGTGACATTCCCTGGCAGCTTCCACCTCAAGACCCATTGTCTGCACCATGGCCAGCACATGCTTCAACATACGCACACAGCTGCTTGAGGAAAAGGGATCAGGGGCTAGAAATCTGACGGAAATCAGTCTGATTCAAATGCAATTTTAATTGATGAGTATTGATTAAATTTCTTCACTGTAATTCTTCAAATTAATGAATATCCTGTGAGAGTGAGCTAAAATCATTTCCTGACAAAATAGCATGTATTTTGGAACAAGCTAGGCATGCCAAGCCCTAAGTAACTGGGATTGCAGGAAACCTGAAAACCAAAATCTATTGCTAATGAAAAATAGCTAATTTTATACTTCTATTTTCACCTTCTTAGTAATTTCTTGCTGAAAAAATTAAATATGATTGTTTTAAAAGTATCATCTTTTTAGCACACTCTTAAATCTGAATAGCAATAAAGGTGGGAACTGTATCTTCTAATATACCTACTATTTTTAGAATAATAGCCCAATAATTTCAGGATAATGAAAAGAATACTGAAGACTTATTACAAAGTCTAATAATGTATAATTATCACTAGAAAGTCATTTAAATAATAGTCCTGCTTATACCATAGTCCAGTGAAACCTACAGAAATAGAAATGCATTCAGTCTTTTGATAAAAGCATAATCTAAGGCCAACACCTAATTATCCATAATCACTGCAGCCAAGAATAGAGGAAATTAAGTACAACTTCCATGGTTAGACACTTAATATAGATCACAGTTTTTAATGCCTGAGGAAATCAGCATTATCATTACCTTTAACATAGAAAAAAGTCAAGATATGTACAAGAGATATGATTTAAACTCAGGTCCATTTGGGTCAAAGCTAATGTGCTGACTGACTCTTTGTGTGTTCTAATCAAAATATAATTTCACTATAATTCCAGACCATCATCTTGATCAATATATGCAGTGTGAGTCATTGTTCATCATAGTCGTGTTTCATTTCCCATATACTTTGACCATAAACTAAAATTATCAAAGGAATAGCTGCTGAAAGTAAAGAAATGAGCAATAAAAATGCTGACTAGATAAATAATAAATTAAATAATCAAGAAATACAATTTTTAGCATATGAAACATTGTTTGCTTTATTCATGGGATTTGCTCCCATGTGTAAGCATTGAGTTGAAAAAGGCCTCACACAGGAAAACACTTCAGGAAATGAAAGAAACTGACTTCCTGTGCTAAGATGGGCCTGCTAGTAGTTTCTAGTCACTACTGAGAATTTGCTCCCCTATACACTGAATGTTCTCATTAAATGGGGGGGGGGAATTACAACATCTTGATGTCTCCCTGTCAGTCCCTATCCTGTTTTCTGAAATCCCATTGTATACATAATGGACTTTTGCTAACCCTGGATTATTTAAAGATGAAAGTAACCAAACCACATCTGTTGAAACAAAGCAATAGTATCAAAATATGAATTCAGAGACTGGGTGATGACTCCTAGAATAAAGTGCTTGCTTCACAAATGTGACAACAAAAGTTTGGATTGACAGAACTCACATAAAAGCTCCCATGCAGTAGGATGCATTTATAATCCCAGCATTCCTACTGCAAAATAAGAAGCAGAGATAGGAACAGGCTAGCTAGCTTCACATACACATTGGCAAATAGCAAGACTCTTAGACAAGGCATAAACAGAGAAATGACACCTGAATTTGCCTCCTAAGCTCTATAGACAAACCTAGACCCAGATACATCACATAGACACAATAAACACACATATATGTAATCCTTTACAAAAGTAAAGCCGCGTGTAGGTAAAATTTATTAACATTTTACCTTACATATAATAAGTGCTCACTTTTTATCTATACATATAACACATTCTTATGATGCTGCTTATATATAGGAATCTGACCCTGAAGGCATATGATCCAACCTAATAAAATTTAATTTCTAAAATATTTACAGGATCTCATAGTACAGATAGACAAAATAATATGAATTTCTGCTAATATTCAACTGTAAGACAATATCTAAAATTAGATTTCTGGAATGCTATAGACAACAAATGCTAGTTCTGTCCATAGTACATTTACCCTACTGTCAACCCTAGAGGCTTTGATTCTACACTCATTCTACATCAAAGAAGGTAAGAGAAAGTTCTACAGGTAGGAGCTATATTCCCAACAGTACCATGTTCTGTCCTACTGTCTCTTGTATACAAAAGTTTCCTGATTGCTTGATGTTGATCAAACCATGTTACAAAAAGAGACATTTCATCCTAGAGCCTTCATCCAGTAACTGATGGAAGCAGAAGCAGAGACCCACAGATAAGCCTTGAGCCGAACTCCTGGAATCCAGTTGTAGAGAGGGAGGAGTTATGAACAATGGGTTCAAGACCAGGCTGGGGAAATCCAAAGAAACAACTGATGTGAACAAGGGGGAGTTCATGGACCCCAGACTGATGGCTGGGAATCCAGCATAGGACTGAACCAGGCCCCCAGAACATGGGTGTCAGTTAGGAGGCCTAGAGAGTCTATGGGGCCTCTGGTAGTGGAACAGTATTTATCCCTAGTGTTAGTGTACAAATGAACTTTGGGAGCCCATTCCCCATAGAGAGATAATCTCTCAGCCTAGACACACAGAAGGACATAGGCCCTTCCCCAAATGATGTGACAGATTTTGATGACTTCTCCATGGAAGAGCTCACCTTCCTTTGGGAGCAGAAGAGGGATGGAATGGGGGAGAGGGAATTGGGATTGATATGTAAAGTAAGATTGTTTCTAATTTAAATAAAAAACAAAGAAGAGGCATTTAATGTTTGCAAAACTGCAGGGTGTAGAATAGCTGGTGTTGTGCCGAGCCTTATTTATGTTGCTAACTCCAAGGATTACTGGGCTCTACCAGAAGCTAGAAAGAGCAAGGGCAGATTTGAGAAACAGTCTTAAGGTCGGTGTGGTTCTAATAACAACTTGAGTTTATAGGTTTAGACCATAATTAAGAGAGAATGATTTTTTTCATTGAAATAAACTAACTTGTTCTTGTTCCTCTTTTACAGTAGTTCTGGAAAACTGATGACACCACTTATATTGTTCCCATTTACCAGGCCTTCATTACCCATTACCAGTTTAAAGACCATTATGTGCTCATCCAGGTAAAAAGAAATGCAGCACTGAATAATACATTTTAAAACTGTCACTGAAGGGAGTGTTCCAAAGCTGCTGTAGAGTCTGTACAGCAGAGGCAGTGGGATCATGAGTTTGACGCAAGCCTGGGCTGCATAGTGACTTCAGAATGAACACAGGCTATGCATAGATACTCTTTGGAGCAAGGACAGAGGTGGCTGAAATAAACTTATCTGTCAACACAAAGATATTTACTGAGTCTATGTCATTTTTCATCCACTGTTCATATATAAAACTCATTATTCGAGTAAGAAAATGGTTAATTTGGGGAAAATGTATTTCAGAACTTTGAATTTCTGATTTTAGTTAGTAGGAGTAGAGATCAGATCTGTAAGAAGTGAGGAGAAAGACTGAGGGAGAATTTCCCCAAGGGGGTGAGGGAGTAGGGTTAGATATTGAGGAGTGAGGTGAAATAGTGAGCAGTGAATAGTTCAAAATGTAGTGTAGGACTATGAAATTCTCAGTTAATGAAATGCTATGTTAAAATGTAGAAAGAAATATTTGTAGCACAGGGTAGAATATAAACTTATTTTGGTACATTATTTGCTCTGAAGTTTGTTTTGTCTCTCAAAAGCCTATTAGGTGTATAAACATTGCTTCCTATGATAATCCCTTGTAATTTCAGTGGAAAGTTAATCACATAAACTGATCACAGGAGTCCATTTACAATTCAGAGATCTGTAGCATGGAACATGACCCACCGAGGGAGGCTGACTTCCACTTCCTCCTCGTGGAGCTCAGAGAACCATCTCTGGATGTGATGAGCAGTAACTCGTTTTTCCACGTCTTCTAGGTTCACATCTTCTGTGGGAAGGATGATGACTACACTAAATTCATCAGCCTTGTAAGGCAATTCCAAAACCTGGAGCCTCATGAATGAATCAGAAAAATAACCTGAAATAATTAAAGTTCATTACATATATTTTTCAGTTACCAAATCCACAGTTTAATATATATATTATATATGTATATAGCTTCTCATATTACCATAATTTGTTCTTAACACAGCTTTCATCATTGGAACCTTGACTGTTGAGCCATCTTTCTTATGAAAATCTGTCATCTCTGTGTCTTCTTTTCTGAATTTCTGTTTCCAGTCCCCCTTAAAATAAATGGCATTTACCAGGACTAGGCGAGTCAGGGGACCAAATTCTTCCTCTGAAAACATGTTTTTAATTTTTCCTATAAAGAGGATGGAGAACAAAGAAGGGGGGAAATTAAGTAGTGATTCAAAGAAACTGGCTAAAATAGGCTAAAGCCAAAAGGTCTTGCATAGAGCTATTTTTGACAGTGTATTGTATCATCTAGCTTCCTGCATGTTTATCAGTTTTATTCAGACCTAAGAGCTAAGGTGCCCATCAGGACAACCACTCTCATTAGGTTAGTGTTCCAGCTAACCTTTTTGCTCTCATGGCTGCAACCAGTGACAATGACTAGCCTGATTTTCATCTTCAAAAAAGCTAATCTCTCCTCATCTTACTTCTTTGTGCATTAGGCAATTCCTTGCTCATTATTATTTTCATATTTCACAACCTTATAAATTATGATCCTCACCACTGAACCACAATCTCAATCCATACCTCTGTGTCTGAATCTGCTCATGAAGATTCAAGTGGCAACTCACCCAGGAATAAATTTCCTCAGCATAATCATAATCAAAGTAAAATACTACTAGGGGTTCAGTATATGTTTAGTACAACACATACATTGTTATTAAAGTTTCTTATAGCTGAAATATTTCAGTAGTGTCCTAATTTAAAAAAGAACCCAAGCTCGCAATGTGCTAAACTTTAAATTCAAATCTCTCCTGACCTTAACCTCTATTTAATGACTTTGTAATGTTTGTTACATCAGTTCTAAAGGTTAGATTAGCATATCTATGATAAGATTGTTAGCATTATTTTTAAACATTAACACAATCAACTAAAATATTTTCAGTATACTTGGGAAAGTGACATTTGGAATTGACATAGCTAACATATTCCTGAACAAAGATAGGCCTCCTGTTTCCATACATGAAAAAAAATCAATGCTTGAACAAAAATTATTGCTAAAATTTTCCCATTAAGAATAGGGGGCTGTCTGGAAATTACTGCATGAATCAATGTACTTTTCAAAGCACTTCTGCGTTTCTCTGAGTTGTGTAATCTAGTGTTGATTTACATAACAGTGAGATGAAATGGAAGACTTGATCTGTTTGATCCACAGTAGAATGGGAAATATTGAGCCGCGCTTTAGGATATTAAAAGCTATGAATCTACCAGGAGATAGCCGTTTTATGAAAAGGGGAAACCTTACCATCTGTCATGCTTTCTACCCAGGTGCTGATCGTCTGTGCACAAGTCTTTGCATCCAGAAAATCCACCAGTTTTGTAGCACTCTGAAAAAACTCCTTGTTGCCATGGAGATATGCTTCCTTAACAATGAATCCTTCTTGAAGGTAGAGGGCACTGGCAAGATTAAATGTAAATTCCTGTTTCTTCCTCGAGATGGCTGAGAAAAGTGACTTCAGCACAGAAAATTCCTCTCCTTCAAAACAATTATAACATATACTGACATACTGAACAACATGAAAACAGTAGCTTTTTAACTATGTCACCTGCTCTGATTCACACCACCAGTTTTCCATGCCGGGACCTAACTATGGAAAGTCAGTATAAAGATAAGGAACATTTACCTCCTGTACATGATGAATTTTGTAGAAAAATAAACAATTATACTAATCAAAGAATGGCCACATAAATTTAATTTTTTCAGAAACAAAATTATGAATTTATGCAGGGTGAAAGAAAGTCCAACTTTCTAGTCACATTGAGGTCATTCAATAACAGGCAGTTTCCTTTAAGACCTCTTTCTTTGAGATGGAAATGTAGAGTAGTAGTGAAGGTATGACACCAGTGAACAGTGTTTCAATGTTACTTTTACTTCAGCTTCCAGAAAATGTTGCTGTTTGTTAAAGTACTGTATGTACCTGTCCAAAGTTTCAAGGTTTACAAAATAAGCACTATAATCATTGCTAGACTTATACAAAAATCTGATGTGCCTATTTGTTCAGATTCAGGAATCTATGTACTTTGGCTTCTGCAGGATAAAAGCCTTTAGTCATCTCAACAATAGCTACCAGTAAAATCAACTAAAGCTATCATCACCAGTTGATTATGTATCGGTGTGGTTCTGAATATAGTGCTACACATGGTTCTAAATCTTATTTACTCTGATAATTCCATTCATAGTTTCTTAGGCATCTCCTAATGTTACAGTGTACTTCTGAGTCAATCCTGGAACTCAGTCACGAAGTCAGAAACTGTTTCATAGAACATGTTATTCCTTGGCTTTCATTACATTTTCAGTAAGAACTGGAATTCCACTTGAAAGCTGATAGTATTTGATTAATCTCTATTTAAAAAAAAACACAGTTCACCATTAAAAGATACAATACTCATTGAGTAGAGTTACTGATGGGGCCTAGGGAGATGGCTCTGCCTGCTGTGCCAGCCAAAGGACTTGACATCAATCAACACATAAAAACCAGAGAGGTTATTTCATGCTGATAACCCCAGCAGTGGTTAGGCAGAGAAACAAGGGGGTCTGAGGCTTGCCGTCCATGTAGTATAGTCAAATTGGTGAACTCTAGGTGCAGTGAGAGAACCTGTATTAAATAATAAGGTAAAGATCAAGAGAATAAGTCACCTGATATAGACCTCTAATCTCCACAAGAACACACAGTCATGCACACACACACACAGAGGAACGTACACACACACACACACACACGTGCACACCATAAAACACATATTACTGAAAATTTCTTTGCAAGTATCTAAGGGAGATAAAATATGAGAGGACACATTGTTTAATTATAAAACTAGTGGTCATAATCTTTGTGTTAAAAATGGAGCTGACCCTGATGAGCTGTGACTACAAGCACTGCATATAGCCCAGCAAGCTGGAAGTTACGCTTTGGTCTCTGACACCTCATTGGTCTGCAGTTCTTGAACAGGCACAATCTTATGCATCTATAGAGGATGCTGGACTAAATGCACTGCATTAGCTTTGAAACTTCAGGTTCTCTATCCACTGAAACAGAGACAAATATATAAAATATTTTAAAAATAAAAATACATTCCATATTATTAGACTTGAGGACCTATATGATGCCTGAAAACCCTGGACTTCTTTATACAAGGATATGGAGAAAGTTAAACTATTTTATGGTTATGCAAAGATTCTGGATGCTGGCATCCATTTCTATAAGAAGCTTTAAATGGCATAGTTTAGCAGGTGGGCAGCTAACTGGGAGAACTTCCTGAGTAAAAGCACAAAAACTTATCCAAAAGATTGAATGACAAAGACAAAGTGACAGGATTCCAAAGTAATTTCAGGGCATTTATAATTTATGGACACCTTTAAAGGAATGGTGGGAGAAACAGAGAGGAAGAGAAAAAAATAGCTGTACCTCATTTGTCAGAGCAAATAGAATCATGTCACATGCTTAAGATCTAAGAACCTGTGATGAAGAGCTGACCTTTAATAAATCTCTGGGTTCGAAAATCAATGGAAAGCTATCACCAAGTAGCACAAGTTTTGGGGATACTACAAAAATATTGGACTTACAAACTTGTTTATATTTATAGGTTAATGACCCCATTTACACAAATCAAAAAAATAAATATACATGGCTCCTAATCAGCAATGAGAAAAAAGATTGCTTAATTTCCTAAAATAGAACCACAGAGAACTAATAATAGGGATAATCGATTTGATTATAGTAGCCCTCTAGAAAACATTTTAAAATTCTAGCACTGGTTCTCTTCTCCTGATGTCAAAAATCCAAAAGCTAATTATGTATGCATGTGATCCAAACATGTAAACAAAAGTGTACCTAGGCCCGGGGAGGTGTCTCAGGAAGTAACGTCCTCCCAAAACATCATAAGTTTTTGAGTTTGACTCAAATTCAAACCTTAAAAAAAAGAAGAAATATGCTGGGCATGGTGACACATGATTATGATCTCAACACTAGGGAGGCAAAGACAGATGGATATTTGGGACTCACTATCCAGACATCTTGGTAGCACTTTCCAGGTCAGGCAGAGACCACCTTAAAAAAAGAGGTGTGCATGGGGGTGAGATTGAAGAGATACTTCAGCAGTTAGGAGCACTTATTACTCTTCTAGAGGACTGGAGTTAAGTTCTCAGGTCCCATGTCAGAAGACTCCTCACCATCTGTTACTTCAGTACAACACCTCCATCCTGCATAGGCACCTGCACTCAAGTGCACCTACTCACATGCAATTACACACTCACACACACTCACTCACTCACACACACACACACACACAGAGGGAGAGAGGGAGGGAGAGAAGGAGGGAGGGAGGGAGGGAAGGAGAGGCAGAGAGAGAGTTTACAATATCAAAAGTGATTTAAAAATAAACTGGGCAGTCTTTGAAGAACAGTATGGTCTTCTGGACTCCAAGTCCTCATGAGTATGCACTCACACACACAAATAGACTGAGATTGTGGATTATTTCAGCCAAATGATCCATGCAAATTTCCTAATCCAATTCCTGTTTTCATAGTAAGAAATCTGAGATTCAACAGATATAAGGAAAGTTGAGAGGTAACATGATTTCAGCAAAACCACAAGGAATTTTTGTTGTAGAACTAGGGTCAAAATTCTTGCTAAGTATTCTTTCCTTTATTTGTAGTGCTGGGAATTAAACTTGATACTTTAAGCATGCTGGACAGGTAGTCTAATAGTGAGTGCACCCTAGATCCAGGCTTTCTATTTATGACTTCCTGATAAAATAGAAGTATCTCCAATGTAGCCATTGACTAATAAGTAACATTTTTCAGAGGCATTATCAGGTGTTCAGCACAGTGAAGAATTTATGTTCTTGGCATGTCCTTTGATGACTGGGTAATGTATAACTACTGAGCACCTTGAGAACCTCATTCCTGCGAGGATGCTAGCAGTTACATGCATCTTTAAAGGTCTATAGAATAAGCCAGGTATTAACACAGAACAATACAGAAAGGACCACACATTGGAAGCAGGAAAAATAAACCAAGACTGAAGATTCAATAGATAGCCTATTTTACAAATCAATGGGGTTCAGGAGGAGAACCAGAGAGAAGGCTCCGTGATTAAAAACACTTTGTGTTCTCCCACAGGACCTAACACATTGGGTGGCTCACAGCAATCTATATCTTCATCTCCTTGGGACTTGATATCCTCTTGTAGTATCTGCAGCCCCTACATTCATGCGCAAACCACCCTGTAACCCACCACATGCACACGCACACACGTGCCTTCACATGAATATGTACACAGACACAAAGGTCGGGATTGGAAAATGCGAAGAGCAAGATACAACAATTTTTTAAAAAGACAAGACTCGTTTTGTCTTCCCCCTTGCTCCAGCTCCTCCATGACTGTGCCGGCACTGTCTGCTGCTGGCTGTTTCAACCCCTGCCTCACTCCTAGTTTACTCCTCTCGCTTCAGACTGTGTGGGGACATTTTTCCATCTCCTTGTCAGTCATTCTGTCACTCTCACTGCCTAACTATATCTTCTTTTATTTCTTCCTTTCCAGATGTTATTTTCAATATTTTGCCTTTTAACATTCTTTTCCTTTCCTTCATCACTGATCCTCCATATGCGTCTCCCTGTCCCTCAGAAAGTGAATGGCAGATTATTATTTTGGCAGATTATTCTCACTGCATTGCCATTTATATATATATATATATATTTATATTCTTACAGGGAAAATATAAAATTTCCCTCATGAGTCTCACGGCATTGTCTTAGGGAAAAGCACTGGCCAAAGTACTCAACACCCTTTGCTCTTTTTTTCTTATCTCTACAGCAAGGTTTTACGTTATAGAGTGACTATAGATATTACATGCCATAGTTTGTAGCACACCTGTATAGCATTGGCTCATTGACTACACCCATGCTTGATGGTATTTCATTATTATTAATGTGATTTTTGTGTCCACACCCCATCATTCTGAAGACATGTATGTTTCCCTCTAAAATGTATCCATCTGGGAATTTAGCTTCAGAGGTCTATTTTGAGAGCAATCTATTAATTTTCAAAGCGTACCATAGATGTAACGTTCCTGAGAATGCTGTGTTGGGACTTGCTGAAACTCATCAAGATGATACTACAGGAGCTTCATTATTTAGTATTATTTATTAGCAATATCTCTTCTGTACAACATCGCTTTTGTTAAAAATGGAGCAATGTATGACTCGCTAATATCTTCAGAAAAAAAACAAATTCTTAAATAGATATAGTCTATGCTAAGGAAAATAACCTGAAATTAATTATGGTTTCAGTAACTAAACTCCCAAATCAAAACTCTGGATCTCTATTCTGATGCTCAGGATACGCTTTGTGTTAGTGATAAAAACCTAATTCTCACACCAGGATGAACGGAAAGTACAACCAGATCACTAGGGATGTGTTTCAGTTTGATGTCAGATGCCCACATGGGGCTTTGGAAGACTGCAAAACAACCGGCTGCATTAAGCAACTTTTGATGGAGTATTTTAAGTACGTCCTCCCCGTTTTATAAAATAACTAAGCAAGCTCATGAATTAAATGTTGATGTTTTTCTCGGTCTCTTGGTGGAGTAGTGCATTGCTTTCGTGAGAGAAGAGTGAGAGGGTTTAGTAACTAATG